TTATACAGATGATCCATTTTATACAGATGATCCATTTTATACAGATGTTTGAAAAGCTGCCCTGAGACAGTAATATTTTGTTTTTAAGGGAACTCATCTTGTAAATTTGTAGGATGGCTTTGTTTTTTGTTTGTTTTGCTGCTGTTCATCACATAGATTCTTAGATTAAAGAGGCAAAAATCTGGTTCCTGTGTGGAAATTTCATTATTTAGGGCAAGTCTGACGGAGCAGCGAAACGTCGATTTCCTCCTGAATCCGAGTCAATGAAAGAACCATCAATCTTTCAGCAGTGACAGTTTCTTCAGGCTGAGCAACATTTGTTTTCAGAGTGGGAATCTTGGCAAAGCTTGTGGATGGATTTTTCATTTGTTAGCCTTCTGCGTCAATATGCAAATAGATGCTGGTGCTCCGATGAGACCGGTCTTCTCTACTGAATCACCTCTCCAGCTGCTGCTTGGAGAGTTTTGAAATGAAGCTTTGTTCCCTGTTGATGAACCCCATCGAGTCAGGAGGAGGTTGTGGTCTGACTGAAACGTGTCAACAACAGTCGGGTGGATTGGTGCTGAAGCAGACATGGTCCTGCTTTTAGTTTTCTACACCACCTTATAATCTACAGTAGCTGTTTGTTGTTGTTGTCTTTTGCCACTTTTTCTTTTTGACTTCCTTTTGGTTGCCATTTTACGTTAATTTGTAAAAAAAAAATAATAATAATTGTATGCCTCTTTTATGATTGTCTTGTTGTCATCATTCTTTGTCTAAATCAGGTCTCTCTTGTAAATGAGTCCCCGAGGCTCAATGGGGCTAACCTGTATAAATAAAGGACGAATGGGAAAAAAAAAGTTAGCAGAGGCATTAACTTCCCCTTTAGAATAAATCATATCACGTTTGGACTTTTGATTTTCAAATCGGGACAATCTGAACATGCTAGCTGGCTAATATCAAACATGGTCCACATGTGCTGCCTGGTCCTGAAGAGCCGAACATTAAGGCTCAACTGTTTTCTTTTGGCGCTCGAGCTTGAAAGATCAACGCAGAGCGATCAAACACCTCCAGGGATCGTGTTGAAGCACGATGATGTATTTCGTGTTGTCAGTCTTTCTAAAATGTTTGGAAACAAAGAGTCAACAAGGAGCTGCCATCTAAGGCGCCCGAGAAGCAGCTGGGGGGGGGGGGGGGGGTTAAGGGTTTTGCTCAAGGGCTCAGAGTGGAGTAAATGAGGGTGGAGGCAGGTGCTTCACCTTTTCCACCCACATTTTGATGTTGTCGGTCCGGGGAGTTGAACCGCTGATCCTCCGATCACATGCCCACACTCTCTAACCTCTGCACCACCACCCCATAATTTCTCCCATTGTGCTTTTGTTGCTGTTCCAGGCACATGCATGTTGCTGTAGTTGCAAACTCTAAATTGAACCAAAGTGCGACTCTGTGTGTGTGTGTGTCCTTGTTTATGCTACTTTGTGAGGCCCATTTTTCCAACTTATGCTGCATTGTGAGGACCAACTGCTCCTTATGGGGCCCAAAGCCCGGGCCCCATAAGAAG